TTCTATATCTCATCGCATCCTGAAGTTTTATAGATCATTTTGTAGAGGAGAAAATTCTGAATATGAAGGATCAACTCAATAGTATCTTTGTCATATTCAACATGAACATTACTATCGAATAATCTTTTTTTTCTTTGGTCATGGTTTTATGGTCATGCTGGGCACTAGACTAGACGATTATTTTCAGTATTTCTGATTGTTTACACGTCATCAGCAAAATCGAATATAGTATATTTTTTCTTTAGATGTCGCCAATGGAAAGAAGTAAATTGAATGAACAATTACAAATTGTAAGTCTAAAGCGTTTTTTTAATCTACAATTCTAATTGTTGCCAAAATCGATTATTTGAACTTTTTAGGCTGTTAAAAAGCTACTTGACAATCCAAATGATGGTAAAATTATGGGAGAAATAAATAGTATTCGTGTGAGTGAAACCTTTTATATCTTTTGTTTTACATTTCATTATATTTTTATTTTAGATTAAACTTATAAATTCATCAGAAATTGTGGTAAGAAGAAAAAATATTATCAATATATTCAAATAGAAGAAAAAATGCTAATTTCTAATAACTTTTTCTAATCAGAATGAGTTAGAAGGGTACTCTATTAATAGGACTATTTGATATTCAGCCGATTCCTAAAGTGTAATGGATCAAAACTGAGATTTTCGAAATTAATATAGATTGGTGACAATTAGCTGAAATGATATACGATGAAAGATTTTTATTTACAAATACTAGCTCTTATAGTTATTTATGCACGTTTTTTATATTTTTCTATAATTTCTAATGTTAAGACAATTCATAAGGCAAATAAATTACGAAGAAATTTTAAAAGAATCTTTTGCATAATTCAGTTTTGACGAGTTCGTATCAATAATTTTATTAGAATCTACGAATATTGATAATAATTTGACTATAAGTCGGGGATTATCTTCAGGGCACACAATCACCCTAATTATTAATATTGTTAGACGTTTGTTGATTCATGTAGACTCTTGGATTTCAATGGGTACTCTTCGACTATGATACATTGACCAATAAATGACATTTAAGACGTTTTTAATATTCAGAATTTTTTAAAAGTGTCATGAAAATCTATGAAGTGATCTGAAGGTTTTTTAAAGCTCTTCGGCATCTAAAAAGATTTTTATTTCATTTAAACTCTCAAAAAACTGTTTTAACCTCGTACCATACTGTTTTTTATAGGAAATTCTATTACATTCTTCAAATAAATGTCCTCTATAAAAAATAGAAATTTAAAAGTTCTTTTAACACATTTCTGTCGTGAACTATACTGATAAGAGTCTGTATAACTGTAACACGTACAAATTTTTATTTCTGAGAAGAATTTTAGAATTTCGTTGACATACAATAATTATTGAGAAGGTAAACCAATGATTGCTTCTCCAAATTTCATATACGAGAACATAACTTTTTTGCGTTCGAAATCATAAAAGTATGTCGATCAAAAAACTGTTTGAGAGAGCCGGGACATGCTTCAATCTTCAGAATTATTTTATTCTATCCTTCTCAATGATTCAAACAGAATTACATTCCAGAATAATATTAGATAAAAAATTTTATTTGTGCTTTTTTTTAAAGATCATATCATTCAAAACTACAATGTCTTTTCCTTGTCTTTAATTCTTGGCATAAATAAAAATTTCTACTTACTAAGGCTATACAGATTTTAATTATCAATAATCATACGTTGGGAAAAAAGAGTGAAAAGAAAACATGAATGGGATATTCAGGACCATTATAGAAATAGATTTTGTTCTATGACTTTTCCTTTGTAGAATTCAGAAGTAGCAACAATTAATTCACAATCATTGAATGATGCACAACAATCATCAAATAATAAACATTTACCTGAAAATCATTCACAAGTATCATCAACTAATCTAGAATCATCAAATAATGAACATTTACCTCAACATAATTCACAAGCATTATCAGCTAATCCAGAATCATCAAATAATGAGCATTTATCTCAACATGATTCACAACAATTACTTCATAATGATCAAAACCATTATCTTCAAATTGGTAAGCTATAATCATAGAGCTAGCTATTAATATACATTAAATAGCAACAGCAATAAAGTTTATCTATGTCTATAGATCTGTCGAGTGAAAATCGAAATTTAGAGCATCTTTTACATTTCAGTTTTCTTCACGTAAGACTACGCAATAATGACATAAATAGTGATTTTGGTAACTGTCAAAGTAGAAAAATAAGATAATTGTGTTAAGAGTGCTGAACGATAATTTTTACATTCGTCATGCAAACAATGTTTTTACGACGATCAATAAGTTAGGATATATGTCGTCGTTCATTAGTTTTTTCTTGTTAAATAATCATTGTAAAATTGTTCGCTACGTAATTGACCGGAGAAAATCATTACAATGGAGCGAATGATTCAAAAGCAACGGACTTCTTTTCGACCTTAAAATGTACCTTAAGAAACTTTGCTGTTACCTAGAATGATAATAAAACTTTTGCTCGAAAAACTTATAAATTGTTTATCAAAAGAATATTCATTCTTAAAACCTAAACGATGAAAATATAAAAGAAAGTTCAATTCATAACAAGTACCATATATCTTCTAACTCTTTTCACTCTGGCTAAGATTAGTTAAGAAAAATCTTTCTATTTAGATTGATTTATATTAGTCAATTGCAAACATATAATCAATAAACTCACTTGAAATATTTCTGTATTCGAAAATCGATCAATATCAAGAGAATTTTTATCAAAAAATAAAACTTCTTGACATTATTTTTTTCCGAGTTTTTTATGAACAATTAACAGAGTAATAACTGTTGACTTATTGTCTAAGTCTAAATATGAACAAATTCTTTTGATATTGAGTTTCATTCACTAATTATAATTCATCTCATACTAAAGATTAGAATTAGAAAACAAAATGTTCAGTGGACATTCTGATTAATTAGTAGAATGTATAGTATAATTATCTTATATCTGAAGTCTTTCTACAAAGTCTCGATTTTCATTTGAAAGATTAATTGAGAACGATATAGTAGATATTATTGGACTTATTTTCCCATTGACTCAAGTTAAATTTTCAAATTAAATCGAATAATATTTCAGAAATCTTATGATGAGAAAAATTTCTATGATAAAAGTTTCGAATCCACTGCTTTAATACATTCTCTTAAATCTTTTAAGATATAAGACGCAAATCTTTCCACAGATGGTTTTTATTTCTGCAGAGTAAAGATTCAAAGAACTTTCTAATTAACATTATAAGATCGCCAAAGCCAAACAGACAGATCAAACGATCCATTTGTTTATAAATCGTTCATAATTGAATAGTTAGCAATAACTAAAATTATGCTAATCAAATTTACTATGCGGACTATCGAAGATAAGTTTTTATTTTTTTTCAAAAAATATTTATTCCATAAACAATTCGAATCACGGTAAACAAAAATCAATTGATATATATAAGGCTGTTTATAATCTATATTCTTCTATCTGCTAGGGAAATTCCTAATCAAATCTGTTTTTCAATGGTTTGGTACTACTCAACAGGAACATCATAAGATGGATTAGAACAATGTCAACTTGCTGGATTATTTTCGTTAAATTTATCATCCATTTATTGATTCTAATAAATACTTATGCTACTCTCTGGAAAAAATTAAAAATTTATTTTAATCTTTCGATTTTAATTTCAAAAGTCAAAATTAATATTCTTCATAGCACATGGCCTACGAACTTATCTAACTTTCTGTTTTCTCATTATATTCCTATAAACTGTGGATATGAGGCGATTTTATTACATTGTAGGTCTTTTCAGAATGAAATTTGTTTTTTTTCTTGTAGTGAGAGATCGTGGCTTTCAATGGGTGGATGGATTGTTCTTAAGTTTAATAGTTTGTGTCGTTGGTGCATTTATTTTCAAGCAAATATCAGGTCGAGAAGCATCTTTTTTATGTGTTATTTTCCTTTTGTTACTTGTTGGACTTTTTATTGTTGATATTCTCTCAAAAAATGCATGTAAAAAAAGACGTGCTTGAAGAAGTGATTGACAAAGACAATAGAAAAAAAAACTGTTCTTGTATCTTGTTAGTCTTTTTTATTTTCATATATTGTCATTTACTTACAGATTAGGGATATGATTAAATATAGCTTAGAATATAAACAGACATTGAATAAGACAGCAATTTTCTTTACTGGATACAATAAAATCAATGATTTCAACTGATTTTAATATTTGACTTATCTTAAAGATTTAGAGAGCATAGATGAATCTATAAGAATTTATGTATTTATACGACAGATGGGAATTTATTTTTATTAATAGCAATAACTTATCACCCCTAATCTACAGTACTATAACCATTTCATATGAAACTCTGTGTAGAAAAAAATTATTTTCATAATCATTCAAACTGAACCTTCTTAGAGATAAGATCTTTATTTAAAATACATAAATCACCTCAATTAGAGCGAATTACTATATATTTAATCAATATTAAACAGATGAATTTATCAAAACTATAAATCAAATGAACAACTGATGACTGATCCTAATATGAAAAACTATTAACTATACTATTTTCAATCAAATCTTTATGCTTCTAATCAGTATCACCGTAAGCAAATAAAAATTATAAAATTCGTTTTTCTCTTTTGTCCTTTAATTTTAGACGAATAAAAATTAATTCATGTTATGTATGAAAATGAACAATTAACATTAACAAATCATGAACTTGTTGAATTATTTACTGAAGATTTAGAAAGACATTTTGATAAAGCAACAGATGAAATTGATAGAATAACAACAATACTTTCAACACCACTTAAATTAAAACAAATTTGTCGAAATCGAATACGTAAACGTCTTTGTTCTTCTCGAATAGCTGCTCTTAATCGACAAACACATGAACATTCATCTATTTCACCACCATGAAATCAATTACTTACAAATTTCATTCTTCCATGACTTTTAATTATTTTCAAAACAAAATCAAATATCATATTATCAGTTCGATTATTATTATTTAACATTCAAACACGAACAAGATAAAATTTGTCAAATATTTACATTTATTATCATTGAAATTATTTCTTTTTTTTTTTCATTAAAAAAACTCGATGCGAAACATTAAATATAAATGTATATTTTCATCTTTTCTCTTGAATTATATTTCGGAAAATTATTTATGTAGCTGATCTATTAGAAAAAATTCTCTAAATAAAAACAAAAAAAAACCTAAATTGAATATTAATTTCTTATTTTCTAAAAATATGATTCAGATTCGAAATAAAAATTTATTTGTTTCAACTTTAACAATAAAATCAAGTTTTTATTTGATTTGGATAATAAAATATTTATATCAAATTTATAATCATTGAATATATTTAGATATTCTCTAATCAAATTTCTTATTCACCTTATTCATGATAATTAATATCAATTAAAATATCATAGAGTTTTTAGTTTGTTTTTTTAATAAGAAAAAAAAGCTTAGTTTTTTTAAATTTTATTAAATGAAAGTCTTTTTGTTAACTTTTTCTTAATATTTATTCTAAACAATCTTATATATGTTTAATAATTAAACGAGATAGTCAAAATCGTCATTGAATAACAAATCGAGTTATATTACCATTAAATGAACATTATCGGAGAATCGAATTCATCCAGCAAACAGACTCTTAATCGTTTTTAATAACACATCAGCTATTTAAAAATTAGACAAACGATATACTCTTTCTCTCTTTTCAATTTCAATCATTTAACAGAAATTTATTTGTAAAAAATGGATAAATAAAAAATAATGAAGAAATCCTTTTTATGATAAATATTGATTGAAGTTTTATGTTAAATATAACATTTTGAAATTTGTTTCATTGAATATTTTATTATTCAAGCCTTATTATATTAGCTATATATACAAGGTGGCTCAAAAGTCATGCATTTGAGGAAAATAATCGAATATCTCTGTTAGAGTTTGACCAAAGGGACTCAATTTTTTACCAAGGATAGAGACATGCTCACATTCCAAATTCATACCGACAAGGTTACTCAGAGCCCTTTTTAAGTGTCACTAATGATCTCAATAAGAAAATTTCACTTTCTCACACATAGGAAAAGAAAAACAATACACTTAACAAAAGTTGTCATTGGTCTTGCTCGTATGGATTTGGAGTATAAGCATGCCTCTATACTTGATAAAAAAATCAACGGGTTTAGTAGATTCGTCATAGAGATATTGGGTTTTGGTTTCGATAAAGTGACTTCTATTACATTCTGTACACTGGTATTTTTCTATCTGTGAATAAACAAAATTTTCTTATTGAGATCAATAGTGTGACTTAATGAAGATTCTCATTAACCTTATCCTTATGAAATTGAAGTGTGAACATGTCTCATCCTTGGTAAAAGAAGTTAAGCTCCTTTGGCCGAACCGTAACAGAGAGATTCGCTTTTTCCTCGAGTGCATGACTTTTGAGCCACCTTGTATATTCAATATGAAATAAGGAAATTCTTCGAGTTTTTTCTTATCAATATGGGTGTGGGTGTGGGTGTGCATGAAGAGAAAACCCACACCCACACCCACCGACACCGACACCCACACCCACACCCACACCCACACCCGCACCCACACCCACACCCC